ATTTCTTAAGTTTAAGGAGTAGGTATTAGCACTGACCATGTGTCCCGCATTTTTGATGTATCGGGAAACAAGAAGGGCTCAGCTCTTCCTTGTCTGTCTTCACAATCAAGGCCATGTACTTTTTCCTGCCTTTTTAAAACAGTAAGCTCAATTTAAAAAGCTGAAAAATGGCACACAAACAGCCAAATACCCCTCACGTGGATTTCACAACTGTTATTATTTCATCATGTTTGCTTATCTCTTGATAGGTAGGTAGGTAGATAAATAGATAGTAGATATCATATTATTTTCTAGGCCATTTGAAAGTAAGTTGCAGATGATATGATGTATCATGCTGATACACTTCAGAATGTGTCCCCTCAAAATATATATCAAGGCTAGATTTTGAAGAGAGAAGTGGTGATGTCTTTTTTTTTTTTTTTTTTCTTTTTTTTTTAAGCTTGACTGGGTCATTGAGAGAGACTATGTTCTGGGCATAGTATTGAAAGAAGGTAGGTTGAAGTTCAGGTAGCTGTGGAGCCAAGTCATCCTCCCACCTCAGCCTCTGGAGTAGCTGGAACTACAGGCATGCACCACCATGCCCAGCTAATATCAGCCTGCAGTTTTGACCTGGACTTGGAGTTTATAACTGGCTCAACAAAATGATACCCATTGTCAGTCTGTTTGGGCTACTATGGCAAAAATACATGAAACTGGGTGTCTTTTAAACAGAAATTTATTTCTCACAGTTCTGAAGGCTGGGAAGTCCCAGATCAATACCTCAGCTGACTCAGTGTCTGATGAGTGCCTGTTTCTCGGCTCATAGCCATCTTCTCCCTGTGTCCTCACATGGTGGAAGAGGCAAGGGAGCGCTCTGCAGTGTCTTTGTGAAGGCACTAATCCCACTCACAAGTCCTCCACCCTCATGTCCTAGTCACCTCCCAGGGGCCCCATCTGCTAATACTGTCACCTTGGGGATTAGAATACCAGTGTATGAATTTGGAGGGGACATAAGCATTCAGTCAATTGCACCCTTATTTCCAAGGTCCAGGGATAACGCTGAGCCTCTCTGTGAGTGAAGCACATTCGGCTATAAAATAGTATCGTAAGATTTTCTTCTCGAGTTAGATTTGGTACGTAGATAATGACCTTTAACTATTTGTATCTATGCAGCTTTTATTTCCACCTCCTCAACCCACTGTCTACAATTCTTACAAAGAATTAAGAATAACTTTGCATACCAGCTAATTGGCTGAGCATGCGGTATGCTTTTGACCCATTGAAGTGTCTAAAATACTGTATAGGAACACTGTCACAATTTAAATGAAATTAAATTTCTTGCCCCTCTTCCTCCCCCCGACCATTTAGTCTTTGGGTAGCAACAGAGATCACTAACATAATACAACAGTTAATGAAGGTTTGTTTCAGGGCATTAATTTGATACAAATTGTAATTCTGTTCTCATCAGTTCTGTAAATTGCTTTACTGTAATTACACCATGTATTTGCTCAAATATTGCCAATATTTCCATCTGTTTAGTGTATGGTATTATGATTTCAAAATTGATTCTAGATTTAGTCCAGTATTTTTTAGAATGTATCTTTCTATATAAAAGTGAATGCAGAAATAATAATATTTTGAGATTTAAAAAATTTAAAGGCACCTTCTAGTTAATATAACAGATTTTAGTCACATTGGTATTCTTTAATGTTCAATGTATGTATCCACTACATGAGAAACTCAAGACACAAACAAAATGGTCATATTTACTGCAACACTAAGCAATATGGAACATTAAAAATAATATGTATTCATAAACAAGAGAAAAGATGGTATAGCAATATAAAATTTAGAAGAACATTATAGCTGGACTGTATAGGAAGAGCTTGACTGATTTCTTTCCACAATGCATTTTCATCAAAACTCATACATATTCAGAGACACAAATAGCATGCCAGTGAATTCAATGAACTGCCACTGAAACCAAAACATTATTTCCTAGCATCTGTTTGTGGGAATTATGTAAAATACTTAATGCAATGTGTTTTCATTGCAATCCTATTTTTGTTTCCCAACCAGTGAATTTTCATTTAAACCAATATGTTTACCTGAGACCCACATGCATGCATTTATTGGAACTGAAATACAGCTACAGATACAGGCAACACGTCTGAGACCAAACCAATGCATTTTGATGCAACTCAGCCAATTTTCCACAACATGTGTTCTGATTCTCTAGGGATATAAAGCCCCATATAATGGTAAATGCACTGAATTGTGATGACAAGGAGGGGAAACTGATGTCTGGATTGTAAAGAAATACAAGAGCCTCAGCTCGCTGGAAACCTTGCCACCAAAAGTGTGCTTCAGGGACCAGCAGCACTGGTGTCACCCGGGAGCTTGTCAGAAAGACGGAATCTCGGGCCCCACTCTAGACCTACTGATTCAGAATCCAAATTTTAACACGATCCCCAAGCAATTTGTTTCCACAGTAAAATTTGAAAAACAATGTTTTAGAGCAAACCCCTAAACGGTCATAGTTAACTTTAGGGTAATACTCAAAGTTTTCTGAGATGGAATGCACAGCATGGAGCCTACAATCAATAATAATGTATTATATACTTGATGAATATGTTAATTCATCAAGTTAATTACTACAAATTGGTCGTAATAATCCTTTCACAATGCATACTTATATCAAAACATTACATTGTACACCTCGAATATATATACTTGTTATTTGTCAATTATACCTCAGTGAACCAGAAAAACAGTTTTCAGCGGCAAGCACTTTTCTCCAGTGGACAGAGAGTTTGGTAAAAACAAAAGTTGAAACTAGCTTGCTTTATATGCAGAAGCAACCCCAACCCCTTTTTCTTTTATGGGACATGTGATACATGAATTTATTTTTCTTGTGAACACTCGAAGAATTCAGAAGTCTGCTGAGCATCCTCTTCATTTTTATTAATTAATTAATTCCTTTTAGAAATGGAGTCTCACTCCTTTGCCTAGGCTGGAGTGCAGTGGCACAATCATACCTCACTGTAGCCTCAAACTCCTGGGCTCAAGCAATCCTCCTGCCTCAGCCTCCCAAGAACCCAGGATGACAGGGCTACATGCAGCATCACACCTGGCTAATATTTCCATTTTTTTATAGAGGCAGGGTTTTGCTATGTTGCCCCGGCTAGTCTCGAGCTCCTCACCTCAAGCAATTATCCCGCCTCGGCCTCCCAAAGTGCTGGGATTACAGGCATGAGTCACATGCCTGGACCTTCTTTTACCAAAGTTTCCATCAATACTTTCACTTCCCTTTAGTTTCTTTTCTATGAATTTATGTACATATTATATATATGCAAACATTTAAAAAAATTAACTGGATATATTAATATATTGTTACATATTATATACATATAATCTACATTTCCTGAGATCTACATGTTCTCAGGAACATGTAGATACATGTTCCTGAGATTTTTCTTTGTCTGCCTCTGTTGGTCAACTTCAATCTATAACCACTGCATGGTTTTCCGTAGTATGGACACATCATAATTTCTATAGCCAGTTTCCTATTTATGAACATTTGGATTATTTTTGCTTCTATTATAAACAATGCCTTAGGACTATAAGATTCTGACTCTCCCTGAACTGCTCCTAGGATCAGTGCTTGAGATATTTTGCAGACCCTGTACTTGATGGACCAGCTGGCCCCACCCAGATCAATAAACTGGCTCGTTTGATCTTGCGGCCCCCACCTAGGAACTCACTGAACACAACATGGGGCTAGCCTGTAGCTCACCTCTCTCTCCTGTCAGAGTGGCTTTACTTGAGTTGTCCTACTGCCCTCCCAGCGCCCGGCCTTATTGGGCCTGCTCTGGGCCACTTTGCCAGGGATCCTGACGTTGATTTGTAGGGAACAGGGGTTGAGTGACAGGGCCCTACCCCCGCTCCCCAAAAAAATGTCCTGCTCTCCTTATGTACACGGCCCACCTCCTCTCCAGGCCCTGGGTCCCTACACTGAACACTGAGGTGGCTTTTGCTCAGCTTCTCTCCAAGACAGCATGAGCCTATTTTGCCTGTATTGGCAAAAGTTCTGGAGCTGTTCATTCTAGTTATCTTTCACTGGACTAAAAGGATTGGCTTAAAAAATTACTGTACCCTACTTCGATATTGAAAAATATATATTTCGTCTTCCACCTTGTTTCCCTGTGTACAACTCCTAAATTCTTTGGAATCTCCAAAGTGATGTCTTTTTTGTGTGCTGATGAGTTGACAGATGGCTGGCAGCCCATCGGTCGCTTCAGAACGGAGACTGGTCATGGGAAAGGCTAAGGCATGGTTGGAGGGTTGGGGCCTTCAGCCTCATCCCCCGACCTCTGGGAAGGGAAGAGGGGCTGAAGGTAAAGTTGGTCACCAATGACCAATAGTTTAATCAATCACACCTACATAATAAAACCTCCATCAAAACCCAAAAGAACCGGGTTTGGAGAACTTTTGGGTAGCTGACCACGTGGAGGTTCCTGGAGGGTGTGGTGCCTGGGGAGGACATGGGAGCTGCTCTGCCTTCCCCCATACTTTACCCTATGCATCTATTAATCTTTATCCTTTGTAATATCCTTTATAATAAATCGGAGTTTCCCTGAGTTCTGTAAGCTGCTCTAGCATATTAATCAAACCCAAGGAGAGGCCACAGGAGGGGGCGAGAGGACCCCTGATTTATAGCCAGTTGATCAGATGCACAGATAAAACCACCTGGAGCTTGCAGTTGGCATCAGGAGTGAGGGGTGGTCTTGGGGACTGAGCCCTCAACCTGTGCCTTCTTACACTAGCTCTAGGTAGCTAGTGTCTGAATTGAATTGAATTGGAGGAGTCTCGGCTAGAGTCCATGGCGGAATTGTTTGCTTCTTGGTATGTGGGAAGAAAAAAAACCCACACGTGTGGTCACAGACGTCTTCTGTGTTGATCGTTGTTGGGTGAGAGAATAGAAGAAACATTTTGAATTTGTTGTATGTTTTTCCTCTCAGGTCTGCTGTGCTGAGACTCACGGCAAACCCCAGGAGCCACCTGTGATGCGCCAGACACATAAGCCCCTCCCCCACAGGCGTGGGTGCGGCCAGGGCCGACCGCATTCCAGCGAGCATTTCCTCTGAAAGCCAGGCCAAGCGCCCGCTCTCCAGCGTGAGTGAAGCAGTGCCATGCCTCCCACACCCCTTGCATCACATCTCTGGGAATGCACAGACCTTGCTGTTACGCTCTCTCTTCCCACCCTTTATGGGGTGTTTTCTTTAAGTGGCAGAAGTGGGCATGGGTTGGGAGAGGAGCCATGAATTCTAGTTTCTGCCATACTGCAGGTGGATTTGGCGAAGAAGAGAGTCTCCTTTCTGGCCCACACCACAGGGACATTCAGAAGCAGTTGTGTTTTTTTGTTTGTTTGTTTTTTTTTTTTTGAGACGGAGTCTCGCTCTGTCGCCCAGGCTGGAGTGCAGTGGCGCGATCTCAGCTCACTGCAAGCTCCGCCTCCCGGGTTCACGCCATTCTCCGGCCTCAGCCTCCTGAGTAGCTGGGACTACAGGCGCCCGCCACCTCGCCCGGCTAGTTTTTTGTATTTTTGTAGAGACGGGGTTTCACTGTGTTAGCCAGGATGGTCTCAATCTCCTGACCTTGTGATCCGCCCGTCTCGGCCTCCCAAAGTGCTGGGATTACAGGCTTGAGCCACCGCGCCCGGCCCAGAAGCAGTTGTTAAAGGAGGAGCAGCATCGGCTGGGCCCAGGGAAGGGCAAGTAGATGATTGTATGAAGCCAGGCATGAGAGCAGTTGGAATAAGTTGTTTCACCCATAAATTTATGGTGAGTCTTGTCCATATCGTTTATGGCATATTCTTGTGAAATAGACCCACGTGCTTCTGAAAAGCACACCCTTGTTCCCTGCTCAGCTAACTCTGTCTGATCTCCTGACATATTTGGCAATTTGGAATTCTAAGCAGAGTTCAAAATTCTAGGCCAAGGCTGGGATTTGGAGAAGAAAAGGGGCCAATTCCAGAGCAAAGGGAAGAATAAAATCTCTCCACTGTGGACACTGAAATGAGAGTGATAATGGCCTATTTATTATCCACCTGGGGCAGACCCTACAGGCATGGGTCATGCATAGGGGAGTTCAAGACCTAGTTCATCAGATTCTTTCGTCCAGGATTTTGGTCTAGGCAACATCAGATGAAAACAAACACTAAGGGCAATCCTGAAAACCGAAAGAAACTGCCAATGGACAGGTATGAAAGTGTGTGTGTGTGCACCTGTGTGTGTGCCCGTGCTGACATTCAAGGCAACGGTAGGACTTCTTTACTACTAATCAATCTTTTTCTTCTCTGTTGGCCATGCCCTTTCATATGGCTCAGCAAATGTGCAAAGGAATGAATAGTGGGAGATGGAGAGGAAGGAGGCAAAGCCTGGTCCCTGAGTGACTGAGGTTTTTGTTTGTTTGTTATTTGTTTTTTTTATTTTTTTGGAGACAGAATCTTGCTCTGTCGCCAGACTGGAGTGTAGTGGCGCGATCTCGGCACACTGCAACCTCTGCCTCCTGGGTTCATGCAATTCCACCGCCTCAGCCTCCCAACTAGCTGGGACTACAGGCATGCACCACCACGCCCGGCTAATTTTTTGTATTTCAGTAGAGACGGGGTTTCACCATGTTGGCCAGGATGGTCTTTTTTTTTTTTTTTTTTTTTTTTTTTTGAGGATCGTCTCCCAGCTGGATCATGCGATTCAGTCCTGCAACCCCCCCGGTTTACCCTTCTCCCCCCCCCTAGCTGACTCGGCCCCTCCCGGCTATTTTTTTTTTTTAAGAGACGGTTTACCGTGTAACCAGATGTCTCGATCTGACCTCGTGATCGCCCGCTCGGCCTCCCAAAGTGCTGGGATTACAGGCTGAGCCACCGCCCGCCAGGATGTCTGATCCCGACCCGGATCTGCTCCTCCTCTGGATTAAGATGACCCACCCACTTGTTTGTCTTAAAATGTAATCCACTAAATTCACCTCTGGGACCATGTGAAATGTGACTCAGAAATGGAAAAATTATTTCCGCTCAGGAAATGCCACTGCCTTCCTAGAAATAGCTTTGGCTCAAGTGAAAAAGAGATGGGCTGGCCAGGCGTGGTGGCTTACACCTGTAATCCCAGCACTTTGGGAGGCCAAGGCGGGTGGATCATTTCAGATCAGGAGTTTGAGACCAGCCTGGCTGACATGGTGAATCCTGGCCGCTACTAAAAATTCAAAAATTAGCCCGGCATTGTGGCAGACACCTGTAGTCCCAGCTACTCAGGAGGCTGAGGCTGGAGAATTGCTTGAACTCGGAAGATGGAGGCTGCAGTGAGCTGAGATCATGCCACCGCACTCCAGCCTGGGCAACAGAGTGAGACTCCATCTTAAAAAAACAAACAAAAAAAAAAAAAAGAAAGAAAAAGAAATGGGCAAGACAAAACCAAGATTAAGAATACAAGTTTATTACTTATGAAATGTTAGATTGCAGGAACCAAAGACTTAAGTTTCTCCGGGCAGTAGTGTATATTATCAGGATGAGGTAAGAAACACCAGACCAACAGGGCAGACAGGTCTGATGAAGGAACAGGACCTGAAGGTCATTCTGAATCCAATGGAGCTCTAAGTAGGTCAACTTTTGGCCTCCTCAAACCAATATCCCTTTGTGGTGACTCAAGACCAATTTCTACCTCAGGGTCAGGCTGATTTGGTCAACCACCTCCAGTATGGCTGACTTCGTTTTCAAATTCAGCCACAAGGATCATCTTGAGGAGTATTTTTTTCAGACAGGGTCTTGCCCTGTTGCCCAGGCTGGAGTGCAACGGTGCAATCATAACTCACTGCAGCCTCGATCTCTTGGGCTGAAGCAATCCTCCTGCCTCAGCCTCCTGAGTAGCTGGGACTACAGACACACACCATCATGCCCAGCTATTTATTTTATTTTATTTTTGTAGAAATAGATCTCGCTATGTTGCCCAGGCTGGTCTCCAACTCCTGGGCTCAAGTGATCCTCCCACCTTGGCCTCCCAAAGTGCTGGGATTATAGGCATGAGCCACTATGCCTAGCTGATCTTGAGGAGTAGTTCTTTCTTCGCTCTGAAGTCCCATGGCTTCATTTGAATGTATGACTAAGGCTTTCACTTGAATGTATGACTAAGGCCCTATTGATGGTAACCAGTAAAATGAATTATTACTATTTTATTATTTATTTTTTCTTTTTTTTGAGGCAGAATTTTGCTCTGTCGTGTAGGCTGGAGTGCAGTGGCACTATCTCAGCTCACTGCAACCTCCGCCTCCTGGGTTCCAGCAATTCTCCTATCTCAGCCTCCTGAGTAGCTGGGATTACAGGCACCTGCCACCACGCCCAGCTAATTTTTTATATTTTTAGTAGAGACGGGGTTTTGCCATGTTGGCCAGGATGGTCTCAATCTCCTGACCTCATGATCTGCCCACCTCGGCCTCCCAAAGCGCCGGGATTATAGGAGTGAGCCACCACGCTTGGCCGGTGAAATGAATTATTAAACATTGATAACCTTGGTATTGATATATCAAAATTAATTTACTAAAGAGTGTGGTGGCCCACACCTGTAATCCCAGCACTTTGGGAGGCCAAGGTGAGAGGATTTCTTGAGCCCAGGAATTCAAGACCAGCCTGGGCAACAAGGCCAGACCCCATCCCTCCAAAAAAATTTTTAAAAAAATAGCCAGGTATGGTGGCGCATGCCTGTGGTCTCGACTGCTTGGGAGGCTGAGGCAAGAGGAATGTTTGAGCCCAGAGGTTGAGGCTGCAGCAGTGAGCTGTGATCACACCACTGCATTCTAGCTTGGGTAACAGGGTGAAATCCTTTCTCAAAAAAAAAAAAAAAAAGACTCTGGGTTGCAACTTTCCAAATCTTCTGTTATGCACTTTTTTTGTTTTGTTTTGTTTTGTTTTCTTGAGACACAGCCTCACTCTGTTGCCCAGGCTGGAGTGCAGTGGTGCAATCATTGCTCACTGAAACCTCGACCTCCTGGGTTCAAGCATTCCTCCTGCCTCAGCCTCCCAAGTAGCTCGGACTATAGGAGTGCACCACCATGCCTGGCTAATTAAAAAAAAAATTGGGGGGGCCGGGTGCGGTGGCTCACGCCTGTAATCCCACCACTTTGGGAGGCCGAGGAGGGTGGATCACGAGGTCAAGAGATTGAGACCATCCTGGCCAACCTGGTGAAATCCAGTCTCTACTAAAATTACAAAAATTGGCTGGGCGTGGTGGTGCATGCCTGCAGTCCCAGCTACTTGGGAGGCCGAGGCAGGAGAATCACTTGAAGCCGGGAGGCGGAGGTTGCAGGGAGCCGAAATTGCGCCACTGCACTCCAGCCTGGCGACAGAGCAAGACTCCGTCTCAAAAAAAGAAAAAAAAAATTTTTTTTTTTTTTTTTTGAGAAACAGAGTCTTTCTTTGTTGCCCAGGCTGATCTCAAACTCCTGGGCTCCAGCCATCCTCTCACCTCCCAAAGTACTGGGATTACAGGCGTAAGCCACCTCCCCCAGCCCTATGCACATTTTCACAAAGATATTTTAAACCCTAGCAGTGGGAAAGGATACTTTTTGACTAGTGACATCCCAGAGCTATCTTGAGTTCTTGTGGTTTTCAATGGATATTGCTGATTTTTGTTTAAATTTTGGTCAAATTTGTTTGCATTAAAGGAGCATAGCTTTGTATTTATTTCAGTTGACTTGGCAACACTGTCTTAAACATGGTATGATACACATAAGCCTGTAATGTTTTTTAATTAAGTGAAGTAAAAGCCTGACATTAACACTTTATGTAGGTTTATGTAAGTAATTTATTCTTGAAACTAATGCCTCTTCAAATGGAGGGTTTTGTTTGTTTGTTTATGGGAATTTTAAGTAATTTTCAGTGCCTGAGAATGTTCTCCATAAAACCTGTAACAAAACACATAATAATGGTTCCAATGAAAATAGTTATCTTAAAGTTAGATTGGATTTGAAATTCCAAATATCCAATGACTTGGGTATCAAAATTTAAGATTTGGTCAAATGTAACTTTTTAGGTGTCTTGTGTATGGTACAAGTTAGAAAGTATTTATGTGCGCTACCTGTTTCATTCATCATATCGACCCATATCTATATCATTTAAAATGAATACTTTTAGGTATATTAAAAAGTAACACTTCCAACAAACAAATGAAAATTATTTTGTAGTAACTACAAATAGTAGAGAAGTATTATCATAGCGTTATGGGCCATGACCTAGTGAGTTGTTTGCCACTGTTTAATTTCTGCCATTTCCTAGGGGTTAATTGTATCCTGTACTGTTTACAGCCTTATATCCAACTTTGGCAAAGTCAAGAACTTAAAAGCAGCAGGGCTTGGTTG